TTCAGCCATGGTATGAGGTACTGTGCCCATTGCTCCTTGGGCAGGAGGTATTGATGACAAGTCCTCTCAAATCCTTGTAAAAAAGTGTCCATATCACCATCCAGGTCCATAGTGGGGAATTTGTCCAGGGAAATTCTGTGTATCCGTTCTTCCCTGGACTCAGTGTTATCAGCAGACCTGTTCTGCTGCAGCCGGAGTTTTTCTAGCTCCAGTTCATGCTCATGTTGCCATTTTGCTTGCCTTTCCTCTGCTTCCCGCTGTGCTCGCCTGTCCTCTGCTTCCCGCTCTGCAGCTGCTCGCCTGTCCTCTGCTTCCCGCTCTGCAGCTGCTCGTCTGTCCTCTGCTTCCCAGCGCTGGTTAATGAATTGGAAGCCTAATGTTTCACTGACTGGGCCCAGCAGCTGTAGCTCAGCCTGCAGGGACAAAGAATGGGCTTCCAGTTGGCCCTCCCGGATTTCACCACGATCCACATCCGGTGGTGGGGAAAGGCAGCTGTTCCTCTGGGGCATCAAGGTCCACATCCTGTGGCTCCATATCCAAGGATAGCTCCTCCTTGTCTTTCTCGACCAGGGCGCGCATCATCTGCTCCTTCGTCTGGTCCCTTGTGGTCGGGATACCTCTGAACTCGCACACATTCATCTCGACTTTGCTTCTTGTAGCTGATTACTGTCTCAGCCATTTTGCCAAAATAAAAGATAGAAAAACAAAAACAAAGAAGGGGGGGAGCAAATAGCCAAGTATGTCTTCTACAAAACAAAAATTATGCACTGAGTGAGCTTCTGTAGGTCAGTCACTTCTACCAAGCTTCCGACCTTTAGTACACGGGTTAAATGAATAAACCATGCACTAATGTACTAAGCAGATCCCCCACGCTGCCGCCAATCTGTCACGTATTCCCCACATGCCACGCCCACAGCGACTAGCTAACCGAGGCGTGCACGTGCGGCCGTGACTTGGGGTAAGAGGGAATAAAAGGGACTTAACTTTGAATATATAAAACCGTATATATAAGATCAGCCGTGATATATCGTGATATCACAGCCCACACTACCATTTGGCCACCACCAGAGGGAGACTCCACTCCAGCTGGTCGACCCCACACACTGGCAGATACAAATCTTACATACAATCTGGTGTGCTGTTTAGAGTTAAGGAGAAGCTTAGCAATTACACACCCTTCTAAGGTCCCTCCAGCTATCCTACAGCTTGAACCCCGGTGTTAATCACTCTTCCATTGTCAAACACCCCCCACACCAGACACACCACAAAAGGTAGCCTGCTACAAACCCAACAGTTTATCCACAGATGGTCTGCTGAGACACCAAACACACACAGATCTCCGTCTGGCAGATCTGTTACCTTTTACAATCTGCATGCAATTTGCCCACACACAGCGCAATTGCATACAGATTGGCAATGAGCTTGATCGAGCGTTTTTAAAGGCACTAAAATACAATACAATCTAATCCAATCTAATCTCTCCAATCTAATCCCTCCGAAGATATGAGCCCGTGCTTAAATATACAGAAGTCACTAATTCATTTTAAGATTTAATTTCCCAAAAATGGGCAGTGCATAAAATATGTACAAAATATAAAAAGTTACAGAAATACAAAAAATACAAGAAGACACACAAATGACTATTCACTATAAAATAAAAGGGAATAAAAGACAGAAGTAAAACTTTACCAGGATTTACCCTGCGACTGGAGCAAGTCAGAAAAGTCATCAATCCGTTGGTCGATCAACCAGCTCCATACGAATCACCCTGTTAGGGAATGGGAAGATTGCTGCGGTGATCGAATCCGCACATGCTTCCTGACAAAACTTACAGGCAGGCGGGCACTAGGACCCAGGCGCGCCTGTCACCAATGACGGCGCAGGGCAAGCACTAGGACCCAGGAGCGCCTGTCAGGAGTCGGGCGGGCTATTTAAACCCAGCTCTTGCAATGCTCAAGTGCCGTATGGTCTTTCCTGTGAGTTTACTTTTGCTGCTGACCCTGCCTGATCCTGATCTGCTGACTTCTCCTGCTCTGACCCCTGGCTTCCCTGACCATTCTCCTCCCTGCTCCTGCACTTTTGATCTCCTGTTGCCAAACCCGGACCGTGACCCGTTTATTCTTCTGCCTGCAGTTTTGTACCGACCTGCTCCGCTGTTACCGACCCGGCCTGTCTGACCTCGCTTACTCTACCTCCTCACATCAGACTCTCACCTGCTGCGTACCACCGACAGGTGCCTCTACCACAGCTGGTTGCACCCAGGGGTCGCAACCTGTTCTCGGCTTGCTCCAAGTCCATCCCCACCATCAGGGGCTCTGGTGAACAAGCAGGTCGGAACTTAGATTCCGCGCCCTGGGGAATTCTGGTCTGTGGAACGCTAGAGGCTACCACCGGCTGGTCCCTAACAAACCCTCTCCCAGTGCTGACCTGCCCAAGTTCAATTGGGCCAAGACTGGCTTGGAACACCAAGTCGGGGATTGAATTTCCGACACCAGCGCATCAGTCCGATCGCGACAGTACCACTGTTCAACTGTCGCACTCCAGCGCCACCTAACCATTTCCTGCATTTTCCTGGCCTTCTACCTAGCCACAAATATGGTTTTTAGGTGTCAGTGTGACCCACAGGGTGCACTATTAGAAGGAAGTATTTCCAACTCTCTGCAACTAATATTTTAGCTTTTATGAGGGATGAAACATACTTCTTTGATGTATGTATATTCCTTAAAGCTCCCCTGGTCATCTGCAGCCGAACTGTCTCAAGCCATTTCCTTTAAACTGGTTTTCCCAGAAGGTGACAAAACCTTATTAGCACTTAGGTGTCACATCCAGAGGAAGCTAGGCTTTTCAGAAGCTAATTGATGAGCTAATATCTGAGTACCTATGACTGAATATTTCTTTAACAACAAGGCATGCAACTCGTTTACGATTACATATTGCTACCGATCACATCTTGTTAACTCAAATCTGTACATTTATGTAACAGACTCTTTATTTTTTGTTTTAAAGGCCTCATTTATTTTTCTGAAAACACTAGAATGATGGGCTTTACCGAAAAGCAGTAATTTTGTTTCGTGAGTGCACAGCACATTCTCCAAAAAGGATTTTGGCTTCCTCAGGTACGGTTTAGAAAACTCCAATCTGGCTTAAGTTTCTGCGTCAACAGTGGGGTTCTCCTGGGTCTCCAACCCTAGCGTCCCTTTTCATTCAGATGGCAACATATTCATTCAAACAATCCTCCGTTGCAATATTTGATCAGTTTTTTTCTCTTTTGTTCACATCCATGGAGATTAGCTACAGTACCAGGGGCTGTTAAACTTCTTGACAATGTTGCGCACAGTGGACACAGGAACTTTAAGATTTCTGTAGATAGACTTGTAACCTTGAGATTGTCAATGCTTTTCCTCAATTTATGTTCTCAATTCCTCAGATAATTCTTTGCTGCTCTTTCACAGAGAGACACACAACAGAAAGGTTGAGTCCATTTTTCACCATTTTAATTGGTTGCTGGAATGAGTTCTATATTGTCATTACCCGTTAATTGATATAAGTGAGTTTAATTACAAATCACAGGAGCATCACAAACTTGGAATGCAATTATTTCTAACAATTTTTAGAAGGTGCCAATAATTTTGTCCAGTCCATTTTTGTAGTTGTGCATGGTATATGTCAGATTTGTCTTTTTGTTTCTCCACTTTTTTGTGTCATATCAATGCAAACCAAAGAAATAAACATGAGAATACATAAACATTTATAATTGCAACAATTTTCTGGGTTAAGTGGTGCATTATCTGACAGAAATGCAGGGGTGCCAATATTTTTGGCCATGACTGTATATGCTTACCTATTTTTAGGCTGCTCCAGTTATGTGATCCAGCTCCTATGTATCAACCAATGGTGGCTAACTGAGAGGAGGTTGTGCTGCCAACGGATGGGTCATAGGAGCCTATGGGTGACATCACGGCTCCCAGGCATTATCCCAGCCATTGTCAAGTGCTCTCGCTTAACTTTAAGCACTTTAGGCATCTTCTCCCAAGCCCCCTCTCAATCCAGCGATGTGCACTGGAGTCTCGGCTATCCTGGGACTCCTTCTTTTCATTGGCTGAGACAGCTCCCACTGCTGTCAATCACAGCCAATGAGCTAAGCGAGGGGGTGGGCTGAGCCACAGCTGTGTGTGTGAGTGGACACACAGAGCAGCAGGTGCTCCCATACCAAGCTGCTTGCTTGCGGGGGCACCCGACAGGAGGGAGAGGCCATGAAAGCCTGCAGGGGACCCAAGAAGAGGAGGATCCAGGGTGCACTGTGTAAAGCCACTGCACAAAGTAGGTAAGTATAGACATGTTCTTTCTTTAAAAAAAACCCTTTAGAATCACTTTAAACAATGTGTCCCGGCACTGTTCAGTTGCTCCTCTAACACTGTGTAATGTTTGTGCTAGAATCTATGTCAACGGGACTAGTAAGGGCAATGACCACAGCATGACCTCATCTCTCATCTATTCAAGTCACTGCAGACCTGACTGTACGTGCTGACGTTTCCGGACACACCCCCTGACGTGCTGGCTCCTCATAAATGAAAATGTAAAGAGAGGGGCGTGTTCCCGGGGGGTCGGAAGTGACGTTCGGGGCACGAGCGAGTGCTTGAACGTTGGGAGGAGTGCGAGCAATAAAGGAGGGGTGCATGACGTCACGGCCGCCATTACAGGGAAGGCTGAGAGGCGACGAGCCGGCTATTCGAGGAGAAGAAAATTCCTAGCCATCGGGGAGAGTCGCGATTGATTTAATTCCAACCTGTGCACCGGATTACCCTCCTCGTCAACTGGGATACTCTATGTCCGGGGTGATCGGCTCATTATTGGTTTCAGGCTCCTCTATTTGCCGGTTCGATTAGGCTGCCTGTGCCCCTTATAATAGCCAGTGCGGGTCCTACACCTCCACAGCTCCTCCTCTCCCGGCTGGCCTTGTAGGCCCCGGTACTAGCCGCCTGTCTCCACGAATTCTCAGCATGGATGAAAAGGCCTTCACCAAGGAGCTGGATCAATGGATCGAGCAGCTCAATGAGTGCAAACAGCTGACCGAGAGTCAGGTCAAGACCCTGTGTGAGAAGGTGGGTATGTCCTGGTGATGTGAGGAGAGAAGAATGGCCGTGTCTGTATCCCCCTGTACTTGGTGTATAGTGCTTCCTATGGACAATCATTCAGATGTAAAGGGCAGGGGTGGCACGGGCTCTATTAGTGGAGATGGTTCTGTGGAATCTTTGGGGTTCCTTCAGAGATTGCAAGGGTTTCCTGGAGAACTGATCAGTTATTCCCAGAGCATTAACCACTGACCCCAATAATGTCTTCAATGTTCTAGATTAGAAGAATATATTCACTGACCAATGTTGGAGGCATTTTTTCCCACCAGAAGAGTAGTGAGGCGCTTCCACCCTCCCCAATGTAACTAGATCTGTCTCCCTCTAACACCAATGTAATAGTGTCCTCCCACTGACCACCAATCTAAGGAAGTCTCACAGAGGCACTTCACTGCCTGCTAACTGGCTTGGTGGGCACTTTGCTGTATGGGGAAATATCTCCATTCATTATCTGCCTAAACGGGTGTTTCTTCCAATGTACCCAGACCTGTTTCCTGATAACACCAATATAGAGGGGTCATTCTCTCGCTAACCACCAATATAAGGAAGGCTCTCTCATTGGTCACCAATGCCTGCTAATGTACTGTAGGGGGGATGGAGGGCATTTTGCTGGCTATTGGTGTATGGGGAAACCTCAATTCATTACCAATGTAAGTGAATGTTTCTCCCACTGACCACCAATGTACCTAGACCTATCTCTTGACAACAATGTAAAGGGGTTGTTCTCTTGCTGACCACCAATGTAAGGAAGCCTATCTCACTGGCCACCAATGTACAGGGGCTCTTCACTGCCTGCTTCTGGGCTTGGGAAGGGGGGAGGGCACGTCACTGGCTGCTGGTGTATGGGGAGAACGCTCAAGCGGGTGTACCTTCCACTGACTACCAAAGGAAACAATACCATTTCACGGTTTGCCTTTCTTTTCTAGCAGTGTTTTCCTGAAATATTTCTTTGTATAAAATAGCCCTGGGTGTCAAATGTGCATTCCTGATTCTGTTCTGATATACCAGGAAGTATTCATTCTACTGTATTATGAGCCTTAAATATAGCCACTCTCAGGGGTTCTCTGAGACCAGAAAGTTATATTGATGTCTCCATGTTAAGAGTATGATCTAGCGTTTAATTCATGGGCACTGAATTTCATTTTCTAGCAACCCTTGTATTGCTGTTCAACTTTTTTTTTTTTTTCTCCAATTTATGTCTAAATGAGCCTGCTATATTGTATTTGTATAATGCAGTCCTTCAAAAGGTAAACTGGGACATTATGTTGGCCATGCTCATGACCATATTATTTAACTTCAGTCACCAAAGCAACCTGCTACCAGCAGTTAACATCTAAACTGGTGTCAATCTGTTGGTTTATTTGTTTGGATGTTTCTATGATTGAAAGCTGATTGCATTACTCATGGATTGCTTTACAGTTAGACTTATGAGCCATTAACAGTTGATACTTATTATAGACAAATGAAGGCAATGCCACAAAATTTGACAAATTCAGATTGCTTGGACTGACTTGTCTAATGGATTTAAGCACCTGAGCCTTTTATTTCTGTTACTGCTTGTTTTGTATAAATGTTGCATTTTTATGGCTGTAGCTGTGTATCCATGGTGCCAAGTGGCTGGATAGCAATTTATTAGATGGCAAGCGTTCTGATTTGTGGTGTTATTTACAGAAGCTTTAGTTTCCTTGTGGCTTTACATACACCATTTTAAGCTTTGACTGTTATTTAAGCAGTGTATAGAAGTGTTAAAATGCCACTTAGATCTTTATTGGTGGTGTTCCCACTGGGGAGATTTATCCTCTTGGCAACCATTCTCTGGAACAGAAAGTGGTGGAAAATCCAGCTTTTTTCAAGTTGTAAACAAAACTGAAGTTTTGCACTTTCCTGTGACAAAACTGCCTAAGAGGGCATTCCCCTGTGTTCTAGCGCAAAGAACTTCCTGTTGTCTTTGGGACAGAAAGAGGAAGTCTTTCCAGGGACAAAAGCAGCAAAAAAAAATCCAAAACATTTTTTTTTTCTATTAATGCCATTTTATTGGATGTTGCTGCACCAAACAGATGTGGATAAAGACAGCTGGGTAGTCTTGATCCACTGTTCTCAACCAGGGTTTTGTGGGACACTGGGGGTTCTACTAGTGGTTTTCCTTGAGCTGTCTCTGATTTTACTTCCGGTTTGTTTGTACCTGCATAGTTCTGGGGCCGATATCTCTTGGTAGAGCCAGCTGAATGGACCCCTGTGAGCTTTTTTTAGCTGTCTGTAGCACTGCACGGTGGATGTTCTTCCAGTGGCCATCAATGTAAGGCTTTTTTTTTTTTTCTCAATGACCCCGCAAATGATTGGTTTTAGCTAGGGATTCCCTGATACCTGAAAATGTATGGGTTTCTCTGGGGTAAAAAGGTTCAGAAAGGCTCGTTTAGATGAATTGAACCTGTTTCTGTCTGCAATTGCATACTTAAAGTAATAGCTCATTTAAGTGTTCTTGTGGGGATTTATATTTTGCTTTGACTTTTGGGGTTCTCTTATGGAAGATCCTGAGACCTGTATCAAGCTGTTACCAGGTTCCTAGGCAATGTTGCACGCTTGGCCCCCTAGTAATACATGTCAACCTGGTGACTGAGCAACGGGTTGGTAATTTCCTTTACCCTCATTTATAAAAACTAATTTGCTTTGACACATTAGGTGCCACATTCCCTATTTGCATATGGACAGCTCCTATGGTAGACAAACATTTCTAACCTTCACACATTAAACCCCAGTACCTGTCCTCTAAACACCCTTATTAAAGACACCTGCCTTTCATGCCCCTATAACCTAAGTCCCCCTTCCAAGTCCCTTGCTGCTGCTGTTTCCATGTGCAGGGGTTCAATATTCCAGTACTGCAAATATTCTCTCGCCAGATGGTCCTTGACTGTATGTGATGGCACTTCTGTATAGGATACTGCAGACCCTGCTGATGGTGTTCATGTCATGCAGTGATATGGACATGTGAAAGTGTCTTTTCCCGGAGTTGGACTTTAACATTGAAGTTGCCCCTCAATGCTCCCAAATGTAAATGTAAAGATAGCCGAACAGTCTAAACATTTCCCCAAAGGTAATTCTCCCCCTTGTTAGTTGTTAAATAGAACCATTCCATGCTGTGGTATCATGTGACCTACCAAACCCTATCTTCCTCTCTGGGAATGTCAGTGTAGCAGGTTCTGCAGTTGACCTATAGGAGTAAACTGGGGAAATGCTAGTTGTGTCAAAGCACTGCTTTTGATTTTTGAAGTGTATGGCCCAGCAAGCTGCACTCCTGCAGGAGTGGAGCTGCTCCTTCTAGATGCCAATCGTGTTTTCATTTTGAAAATTGTGCATGAGAAGGGAGAGGGAGGATTGGGGAATTTTTGGCCTGAGGCAAACACAGCCAACTGGTCCTTTCATGTAGAGGACAGTTTTATGTGAGTGTGCAGAACACAAGTAGTCATGGAGAATGGTGGGTGTTTTCTTAGAGGACATGACTTATTGTAACACATTGTCTCAAGGGTGGGGGTTGTGGGGTTTTGTAAACCAGGAAGAACTTTGAGCTGAACAAGATGGCTGCTGCTCTATGAAAATGATTGCACACAAACTGGCATTGTTCATGCATGGACTTCTGAATTCATGCACAGAACTGTAAAAGGAGTGGATGCTGGTAGTCTTCCTGTGCCAGGCGCTCTGATTGTAGGTCTCTATGGGTTGCAGGAAGCTATAGAATGCCACCTGAAAATGAAGTACCAGATTGTGGTGTAATTGGGGTGTACCCCCCCCCCCCGAATCAGGACCCCCAATTATTTGTACTGGTTTGGATGGGGGGGTTATGCCACCCAGGCTTTTCTTGACAAAAAAATGGTATCTGTGAGCCTAAGGGGCCTATTTAGGCCTGATGCACACAAGACGTTTTTGCAACTGCTAAGGGAGGGGGTCATGCGTGTATTATTTATTTCTTTTCCTGCCTCTAAATTCCCCTACGTTAGCCTGTGTCCATGCACATGTAAACTTTTAGTAGCATTTGGCGGCAGATATTAGAGACCGGGAAAAAACCCCCACTGCATGCTGGAGCAGCAAAAAAAACGAAAAACTTGATGCTTCTAAATGTGTGCGAACGCTAGGCACACTTAGTACTTGAGCGTTTTATTCTGGTCAATGAAATGAATGCCCAAGCGCTTGATGAAGGCTTCATGCATGTTGGGCTGCTTCAGAAATGCTCATAAGCTGCATTCCCCCCCCCCCCCCAAAACACTTTTAGGCGCGTTAAGTGATTGAGTGTTAATTTCATTGGCCAGAATATGAATCTATTCTGGTCATTGAAATAAAAAGCTCAATTGAAAAACATGCCTAGTGCTTACACATGTTTAACAGTGTTTAGGGATATCGGCATTTTTTTTTCTGCCAAAAACACTATTAAATGCACAAGTGATTTTTTTTTTTTTTTTTTTTTCTTGTGTGCAGGGACACATAGGCCAACATGGAGAGGAGAGTTAAAGCAAAGTTCCAGTCACACCATTTAAAAAAAAAAAAAAAAAAGTCAGCAGCTACAAAAACTATAGCTGTAGACTTTTTAAAAAAACCAGCCACAACTGTCCTTGATCCTGTGGTCTTTCCCACAGCCCGTTTCACCAGCTGTCCGGTGGACACCTGACTGTAACAGCTTCCAGCTTCACAGCCGTGTGCTCACTCCGCATGCAGCACTGCGCTTTGTGAATGGTCCTGTAGTCTTCTGGGATCTTTCACCTCTCTCCCAGAGGACCATGGGGAGGACAACTTCTGCTTCTGATCGCCTAGGCGATCGCAGCAGAAGTGGGAGCAGGTACCTGTCCTTGTTGAGTACCCACCCAAAGGTGCCAATCCTTAATGGGCAGTGGGGGACCAGTCTTTAAAGCAGAACTTCTTTTGGGTGGAGCTCTGCCTAACCCCTGGTTCACATATATATGCGGCCCTGTGGGCAGCGTTTTGTG